ACATCATTCTAACATTCTAACACCTTCTACAAAAGATAGGGTACAACATCAATACTCCAATGAAGCTCTATTGTGACAATCAGGCTGCAGTTCATATTTCTTCTAATCCRGTGTTTCATGAAAGAACCAAGCACATTGAGGTTGACTGTCACTTTGTGAGGGAGAAAGTGCTGAATGGAGTACTAGACACTGCATACGTCAATACAGGAAACCAGTCGGCAGACTTATTTACAAAAGGGTTGAGTCGGGGAAGAGTGGACTACATATGTAACAAACTAGGATTGTATGATATATACTCACCAGCTTGAGGGGGAGTGTTAGTGTAGGGGTATTTCTGTCTTTATACTTATATTAAGGTTGCTGATCTGTAATGTTATGTTAGAACCAGTGCTCCTTACTTAAATAAGGGCACATATGTCTTTTCCACTATTTTTAATAATAAAAGCACATGTCTGGCCGAATGGGAGTAGGGGTTTTTGACTTCCAGTTCGAACCAGACTTTTCTCCTTTTCTCTCTCTCTCTCTCTTTCTTCCACCTTTCTACCTCTTTCTACGTGACTGATCTCAGACAAACAGAACTCCAAGGCAGGCCGAATCATAACACTGTGTATTGAAATAAGTGCCTTTGGATAGTTCAACACTGAAGGTAAATTGTATGATTTAGTGTGTTTGTGTGTATGTATTTAACAAACAGCATGGCCCCCATGCTATAAAGTGATGCTGATATTAACCCATAAAAGGTTATATAAAGGAGTTTTGTATTTTTTGACTGATTCAAGGATTTTCTTATTCTCCACATTTCTAATATCCATCTACCAAGATTTCAAATTCTTAATGGAAAGCAGCTGTATTGCAGGTTTGGATTGGCATGCCAACATTCAAACTGAACAAAATCACCTTCTCAACAGTGACTTACCACAATTTATTTTGGATTCATATGAAGAATGCCGTGATCCACCACGTCTGCACTTGCTTGATAAGTATGTTTTTACAATTGGAAATTTTGGTTTTATCCTATCAAACAATGATATTAGAACACTTATTATTTGCTGTTGTAGGTTTGATGCTGGTGGTCCAGGAGCTTGTTTAAAAAGATATTCAGATCCATCATATTTTAAGAGAGCAATGGCTAACTCGGAATTAATGAATGCTGATAAATCCCAAAAAGATAAGAAGGCTCGCAAAAGCAAGGTATATATCTCTGTGATGAAGAAACACAACTTTATAATGATTAAATAATGTTATATTTCTTACTGGGGATTGACATAATAGATCTTGTAGACTTAAATTAGTTGGCATTATTGTGTAAATCAGGGTGTCTATTTGGCTGGCCCAAGTGCATATATTGTATTTTTGCAAGACAATGCTGGAATCTTAGCCTTTCGGGATGTTTTTAGAATGAACATAATGGATTCTTTCCCAATAGTTTAAAATGTGCCAGGATTTTAACTTGTGAATCAAGTTTGTGAAATGCAGTATACATAATGGATTCTTAGCCTTTCGCATATGTTAAAATGACCTTGTACTGTCAGTTATAAAAAAATGACCTTGTACTGTGATGGTAAAATGTGTTGACAGAAAAAAGGGTCACGGCGGAGGAATGGAGAATTCCCACATACAGAGTTAATATCCCGTCGCAATGGAAGGTATTTCTGTATTCTTTTATCTTTTTACCTTTGAAATACAAACTAACTCTAGGTAAAATAAGAAAGTATTGGCATAGTATTTTAATAGTAGGTCTATATAAGATCTTGAACCATTTTACTGAAATAGTTGTTTGCATATTTATTATAAAAAACTAACGAATTTATGCCCAATTATGCAGAACACAGTTTGCCCCTTCGAACATTTATGGGAAGAGCTCTGCTGCTAATGTTATCTCCAATTTTAATATGAGATCAACATCAGAACTTGGAGACCAATCTTTTGATTTAAGAACCAGGTCAGATTATGCTGAATGTGTTTCCAATGGAAGTCCTTCCATGCAAACCAATGAACACAAGCACAGTGCATTGTCCTCTTCTAAGCTAAGGATGCAATCAAATGATGTCCATTCTTCTGTTGTTGATGAACAAGATGGAGTTTCAGATGATGATTTCCTACATGTGTCAGTGCAAGGCCGAAGTGCCCCTAATTCATCTTCTGTTATGTGGTATGAAAAGACAGAAATAGTGGAGCCGACAGGTCAACCACATGACCACATTGTTGATGATCAGCACGAAGCTTCAGAGTTACGACCTATGAACTTTGACTTAAATAAATTGGCTAAGAGATCTGTTTCTCTTGAAAATCATGATGCAGATGGTGTCTCATCTGGTGATGAAAATATAATTGATGGAAATAGACCAGATGCTTCTTTTGGTAATGTTGATACAGGCTTGTTCGGTATTGATACACAGGATGCAGGTTCTGTTGGGAACCAGCTTGATGAGATTGGAAGTGAGCCAGACAACTATGTGGATGCCCTTAACACTATGGAATCAGAAACTGATACTGATATAGAATGTCAGACCAAACGGGAAGTTGAGTTACCCACATCCAGTTCTAAAAATACAGAGATGGAATATGGAGCAGGTTTATTGTGTGAGATGACTAATCAAAGTTCAGATTCATATGATGTTGACTCTCATACTGCATCCTACTGTCCCCCTAACAAGCAACTGGACAAAAATTTTGCTGATATGGCTCCTAAAAAGGATATGACCTGTGTACAAACGCCCCATATATATACCATATCTTCTAATGCAAAGGTTTCAGAAGATACTGAGTCATGTGAAAATATTAATTTTGTTAATGTTTCTAGAGTAAATGATTTTGAAGTTGCAAATGATCAATTTTCTCTGAGCTCCAACATTCCCAATTCACAGGCTCCATCAAGTCATAAGATTATGGACAGCTCCAAGTCCAAAGAATCTCAAGCTGAAGTTTCTGGTGGACCTTCAATTCAGTTTTGGACAAATGGGGGCCTATTAGGACTTGAGCCATCAAAACCACCAGATTTTAGTATTTCAAACATTCCAAGTCAGAATCCCATATGTCCCACTGAGGATGAGTCACATGATCTTGCAATTAACACTGTTAGGCACACATCCCAAATGGGTGGCTCTTTTAGCAAACTAGACACATTGATTAAGACTCCTGAACACAGAGAGAAGGATCCAAGCTCTGTGGGGGAAAATTATGTCTCACCGAATGCTAGCAGCCCTACTGATCTTCATCCAAATCAAGTGGCAGGGGTAGGAAACAAATACCAAAAAACTGATTCATCTGAATGTCTCAGATCCTTCCATGATGATGATACTGTCAAGAGGAAGGATTCTTCAGAATTAGCTACAAAGACAGAATGTGCTGTCATGACTACTGGAGTGGAGTCGCCAGGTTCTTCTGAAGTCAAAGCCCCAACAGATGAAACTGGTAAAGAGAAGGTCAAGAATGCATCTGGTGTGTTTAGCCTTGGCAATAGATTACTTGTAAATGGTTTCCAAAGGAAAGAATCATCTGTCCATGGTGACACATCCAAACCTGCCCCCTCTTCGAAGACTGATGCAGTGAATTTTTCGGAACCTCCTTCCCATGAACAGAAGAAAGGACAACAAGGAGTTACACATCCAATTTCTCCAAAAGGAATCACCAAAGAAAAGCATCATTCAGGATTCCCTGCAAACTCCCTTCCACCTTCACCACCACTTGAACATATGAAGATTTCTTTCCACCCTACAAATGGCTTTGAGACATCCAAGTTGAGACTGAAATTTCCTGATGGGTGTCACTCTAATGAAAACATTAGAGATGTCATATTTGCTTCATTCCATCTGCTTCCAGAGCCTGATATTCCTCGAAGGGATACGTGTTCTGACTCTGACAATGACACATTTTGTCGATCATCTCCATATATGTCTGAGGATCTTAGCCCTCGATCTGAGTCAAACTCTGAGCAGTGGGAATCGGGTGAAACACGAGGAAGTATAGACCATAAGTTATGCGATGCCTTACATAGAGTATCATCTGCTGAATCCATATCAAGCTCCTCTCAACTGGGGGGAGCATCCCATGGAAATATTTATCCTGACTGTGAATTAAAAAACCTAGACACTGAAGATGCCATGAGACCTTTTCATTCTGGTCCTTCACTTGATTTTCCAAGTTTTGATGCAGTAAGTCCTCCAACAAATAAGCAAGAATTAAGGAGTGGTTCAGAACAAAAGGATCTCCCTGAATCAAGGTCTCATAATTCTCAGGAACCAACACCACCACCACCTCCATTCCCTCCAGTGCGGTGTGTGATTAATTGCCACCTTGATGTGGTTGAAGCTAAGGAAGGACCTTCATCTGAGGCTATTGTACATCCAAAAAATCTGGACATTGTGCAGTCAACCACTTCACAACCACTGTCTGCTCCACCAAAACCACCATCTGTTAAGGAGGCTACTGCATGCCCACCAAACAAAAAGGTGATAATTTTAGTTTATTGTCCTTCTTGTTCGAGTTTCAGCATGAATGATATTTGTGTTTAGTTTTGATGCATTGTCTTGCATGCAGCAAGGCCAGCAGAAGTTGAATGGACGCAAGGAAGTTAATCAGGATGGACATGTTAAGGAAGTGGATGAAAGGGACGATTTACTGCATCAAATTAGAACTAAGGTCAATACATCTCTCTCTCTCTCTCTTTTCCTTAAGATACCTGGTTGTGGAAACAATTTGAGTGAAACGTACCATTTTCAATAAATGGGATAATCGGATACACCCATTTATTGAAAATTTTGAGACCTTGATTCCGAGATCAATAAGATTGGAAGGGGAGGCAAACCATGGACTTCAACAATAGAGGGGGAATCAAAGGTGGTTATTGAGTGGTTAAAAGGGGAAATGGCATGACTATGGAATCTTAGGAAGTGTTTTCAAATGTGTATGGTTTTGTTTTCTAAAATAAAAAAAAATGCCATATCAGCAAAAACATGTATTATTTATGATGTGGCATTTTTTGTTTTAGAAAACAAAAACCATACACATTGGCAAACACTCCCTTAGTCACCAGAATAGAGAAGCAAGGTTGTATACTCTCATATGGATTCCAAGATCTGTCAACACACTTTCTGATTCCTTTGCTGAAGGAATAAATAGGTAAGCACCGGTATGGTGGGGAGTATCCTTTGGGATGAAAAGATCCATGTAGGGGAAGTCCAGTTCCTTATGGAACTAGGGAGAAGCATTGGACTGCCTTTGTTGTACATATCAAGAGATTATACTAATATCAATCAACAAACAGCTTGGATGCTGGGCTAGCAAAACATGGGGCAGTAAGATGTCAGATGTTTTTGGCGCATGGTCTCCCAAGAGGAGCTTGTGATTAACAATCCTGGTAGTGATTATCTGAGACTAGCTACCCATATTACAGTCTACTATGTACATATACACATTTATCTTCATATTTAATAAAATATTTTTACATTTACTGATAAAAAAAAATGGTGCAAATCCCTAATTATTAGTCAAAAAGAACACATTTTACCCCCTATGTATAACTTTTCTTTATCATCATAAACAGGGTTATCTTATGCTTTTTCAATGAGGATGTGCACGGATTATCAAGAAGGGGATAAGTCCAATTCAATCCCCATTTCTATAACCAAGTACAAAATATCTTCCAAGGGGTGGGCACATCAGTAGGATTCTATGGTTATTTAATGGTTTTTTGTATATCAGACATCCTTAACAAAGCCTCCCCCCGCCCCCTCCCCCAAAGAAGATGATTGGTGCTCATGATTCTTCTGATACATTTAGGATATTTCATAGCTAGTATATTTGTCCTATAGACTATGTAATGTAAGGGGAAAATGGTGATATTATTTGAGTGGTGAATAGAGTCAACTTATTATATGAGGTTCGAGAAGTTTTGTTCATGGACATAACATGGTCCACAGAAACAAGTTTTATTGCATTAGACTTGAACATGTTAGAAAGCCTTCTGGTTAAATCAGAAGTTATCCCTGTATACTGGCTAATTTTCTGTGTTGAGCCAGCAAATCAATATTCTTCAAGTTATGACAAAAACCCAATATGATCCAACCTACTGAAGTAATAGGACATAAGGAACTGATGCAGTTTGATATTTGATTTCTATGTTCTTACTCTTCTGGTTGAATTTCCAGTCATTCAACCTCAGGCGTACCACACCCAAGAAGCCAAACTTCTCATCCGGTCCCACTACCAATGTCAAAGTTGCTGCAATATTGGAGAAGGCAAATGCAATACGCCAGGTTCTTACCATCCTATTCTTTTTTTTATGGTTAATTTATTCCCTATACTTGTCCCATATTTTGAAAGCACAATGCATTAGATTTTACAACAATGTTTAAAAAAATGCAGGCTGTGGGAAGTGACGAGGAAGGGGATGATGATTCCTGGAGTGACGATGACTGATTTTCTAGAGGGCTTGATTCATGTTATTCAAGCCATGTTCAGCCACCATTGTATCTTCCCACTTGATGTTATCAGGTGAAGCTGTGTTCTATATGTGCATATAATCTCAGTTCCTTTGTGTAATTAAATTTTAGGGTTCATATTGTATTCTTTTACATTTTCTCGTTGTATTAGGTTCAATTTATGTTATAAACAATGACTTGAGTTCTTGGATGACGGATTCATGAAGCATGTATGCTAATCTTCCCAGCAATTATTTCCCTATAATGCCTGAGAAAACGAGCAGGCTTTATTATGGGTTTGGCCTTCGTTATCTTACAGTCTTTACCATCTACGGTATTGTTCTTTGGTTGTCCTCATCTTAGACTTGTTAATATGCTACCAATTGCTCTATTCATGCGCTTACCGGAACCGCTTTGGCGACCAGAAACCGGGTCAGTAGTTCGACCATCCGGTCCAAATACAATTTTAAAAATAATTAAAATAAAAAAAAAAGTCTAAAAACCGTTGTCCAGGTAAAATGGGTTGATGGCTCGACCACCCAGGTCAGCAGGAACTGATAACCTGGCCGGTTTCTAGGCTGAACGGTCCGACCGTCCAAGTCAACCACAGTCGGTATTAAAACCTTAAATGAAATCGTTGACCATAGTAAGGAACATTTGAAGAGGTGTCTTTGTCGGGTCAGGTGGAGTCGGCCATCTTCTCCAGCTCGTGCTTCAGAAGTACTTAAATCACCAGGAGGTAACCTTTGTCGGGTTTGTACAAGATTAATGTTGATGGTGTTGCCTCGGATTCCATGGAAGGTGTTGGTACTATCATGAGAGGCGACAGGGATTAGAGTAGTTTCGTGGCTGGCCGCTCCAAGTCGATATCCCCTTTTTCACTTTTTCTTGAATGACTATTGCTTGTTCGTGATCTTTGCTTGCATAGGCATCATTTTGGAAGGAGATGCCAAAGTGATAACTCAAGCCTTGTTGAAGTCTTTTTCCCTGTATCTGATATCTCTTGGTGTGTATTCAATGCAGAGTGCAAAATCTTGTATCTTGTATTTATTTGTATTTGTACTCTTTTTAAACCGGGTCAAAAGAGAATTACCAAACGCTCATTTCATCTCTTTACTGCACCGATATGACCCATGTTGACGGGAATACTAGTTCTTTTGGCCCACCACTTGGCTCAGATGGCATTAGCTCCTAATATGGATGTTCCTTGGATTCATTCTTATTCTGAATCCTAATTGTTTTCATCCTCTACTGAAAGTTGACTTGATGTGGCTTCTTTCTCTCTTTAAACAATGAGTCCTATTATGTAAAATGAACACTGTTTCACACAACAAAGAGAAACCTCAGCTTCTCATTTCGTGGGAATTGTGGTCCACTGAAGTCATAAAGTGGGATGCATATCAATTCAAAGGTGTGTTTCAGTTGCGTGGTTCAAAGGAGCTCATTCCATCCTTCCTTGAGTTCAGCAGATTTGTCAAACATTCGAAAGGAGAAAGGAAATGTAATAATGAATAAATTTTGAAAATTTGTATGAATAACAGGGATATTGTTGGTACATAAATATTTGAAACATTTATAGTTAAAGGATAGTGAAAAAAAAAATATATCAAGTATATATCAACATTGATTTGAACTCCACGTAGGACATTTTGCTCAACATGCATAGTAAAATCACAAAAGTGCGGCTGATTTTCACCTATTCTGCTATTCACCTTTCCATGTGGATTTAAAGGTTCCATGCTTACAGATACTAAAATTTATATGGATAAGATGGAAATTTGTGTGAACAAAAGGGGTATTATAGGTATATAAAATTTTATCATTGATTAATGTTGTGAAGCGAACCAGAGTTGAGGATACATACAATAGAAAAGATAAGATGGAAAATGCCTAAATAAAAAGGGGTATTATAGGTATACAAACCAATAGCTAAAATTGAGATGTAAACAAAGGATAGAATAGAAAGTCAGATAAAGAATATAGGTACTTTATTTTAAATATCTAAAAGTTTGATTGTAAACCTATTAATAAATTAACATGATAAAATAGAGATTTGTATAAATAAGGTCTAATAGGTATCCAAAAGTTGGACCAAAGTGGATGGGCGTGAAACTACATCTTTTAATATTTTTATTTATAATAATATTTATAGAGATAGATAACTAGCTTGTTCAGCGGCGCATAGAGTTACTGATTGGGGTCTTGGGGTGTCAATTGGACCAGATTTGGTCCAATCTGATTCGGTCCAATATGAGTCCGTTATAGATGGATCAGATCCAATCCAATTCAATGAATACTCTGGACCATTTTGGATTAATCCAATTCAATGTCTGGACCACCCCAATCTGTTTAAATTGGTTTTAATTTAGATTGGTTCTAACTCAAGCCTGATCCATTGAAACCTGTATTCTTATCTCCTATTAATGGACTGGATATTGGTTCAATCTAATATAAATCCATTACAATTAATCAAACCCAATTCAATCCAAGTACTTTGGACCATTAAGTCTGGACTGGTCCAATTCAATATGCATGCCTTATTGGTCTGTCTAATCCACCTAAATCGATTTTAATTTCAATGGGGTCCAACCCAAAACCGGTTCACTGACACCTCTAGTTACTGACGTACATACATACATGGGGTGTTTCTTTACTGGACATGATAAAAGCCCGTTCATGACTACTTACATAGTTACATGGTTAAGGCCAAGGTTCAAAGTATCGATACATATCATACTGGTGGCTTCCCAAGACGCCCCTACAGGGGGTGTATTGGGGTTCTGACCGATTCAGGAGGGTGGAGGAGCCTTAAACCGCCCCCCCCTGAACTGGTTTTGAAAAAAAAATAAAAAAAAAGCCTAAAAAACACTATCGATATTGCTTGATACGTCCCTACTGGCGCATCGATATTTTGAACTTTGGTTAAGGCTATGTTTGGGAGTGCTTAAAACTAAGTGCTTATTTGGACCATTAAGCACTTATTGGTATCTGGGAAATAAGCCTAAAATAAGTGCTTCTTTTTTTTAAGCCCAAATTTTAGCTTTTTTTAAGTGTTTATACAATAAGCACTTATTCAATTTTTTTCTTCCAAAATTATCCCTAGTTGAATTTTATAAAAGTACTCTAATAAAAGTGCTTTTATTAAAGTGCTTTCGTAAAAATACTTTCATAAAAGTGTTTTATAGAAGTAATTTAATAAATGTGCTTTCAAGTCACAAATGCTTATTGGAGAAAAAGACTACCAAACGCCCAATATGAAATAAGTGCTTATTTTTTAAAATAAGCACTCGAAAAAAATGAGTGCCAAATGCAAATAAGTGTTTATTCGAATAAGCACTTAATTCAATAATCACTTATTTTTAACTTAATCACTCCCAAACACGGCCTAAATCCAATGGCACATTCTATAGCTCATAGCCCATCTCAAATTTCTATCTATGGAAAAAAGGCTGTTTTTAGCCATTGAGGACTAATTACACGGTTAAGCCCAATAGCCCATCTCAAATGTGTTAGCATGTCTAGGAAAAAGGACTACATTTGGCTATTCAGGACTACTTACATGGTTAAGCAAAATGGCCCATTCTATAGCCCATCTCAAATTTCTTAATATAGGAAAAAGGCTGTTTATGGCCATTCAGGACTAATCACATGGTTAAGCCCAATATCCCATTCTATAGCCCATCTTAAATGTCTTAACATGTCTAGGAAAAAGGGCTACATTTGGCTATTCAGGACTACTTACATGGTTAAGCCCAATAGTCCATTCTATAGCCCATTTCAAATGTCTTAACATCTGGAAAAATAGGGCTAAATTTCGCCCTAGTTCCTTCTTAGGTGGAGAAGAGTTGCAAGGATGAAAGTCATAAAAGGGTTTCATTGGAATTTCTTGACAAATGGATCGATAGGCCCATTTGTAAAAATAATTTTCCGTGCGGTCTGTCCCAGTAGTTGGGGTCTGAGCGGGCAAGGATGGACCTGGTCCTTCCTTGACCTCCTTCCAACAAAAACTGTCACAACATGGTTCCAACTTGATCTGTATCCAGAACATGTGCTTGAATGGACCAAAGAAATTGCTACCTCTAAGCCATACATACCATTCCTCCACAGGTATACTGGGTGTTATATAATGTAGATGAAAAAATAGTGGGAGCAGTTGTTTTAAATTATGGGCAAAATGTGTGTATAGAAACTGTTCACACCTAAAGAATTTAGAATCAATTATTTTTTATTAACAAAAAATAATGAAAATTGGTTTAATTTTAAAATATTATCTTCAAATATTAAAAATTATTAAAATAAAATAAAAGGAATGAAAATAAGCTAAAAAATAACTATGACAACCATGAATGGGGTGGATGGTCCTCATCTGTGTTTAGTTTGAAGGAAAAAAGTAGAGAAAGGTGGGGAATCATTTACAAACCTTGTATAGATTTTCCACCTTTCCCTTTCTTTCCCTACTTTTTCCTTCAAACCAAACATAGCTAGATGATATACCATGGAATGGACTTTCTCTATCCACAATATATTATAGGCGGACATCACCCATAGTGAATCGAACAGCAACATATCTCGTAGATAGGACCAAAACAGTCTCGTCCACGAGACATTTATGCAACTGAGCACAATCATAGATGTCAATTTTCATCTTGGTAACAAAGCCAAGCCCATAAAATTGCGAGGGGAGATGGGTTAGAAGCTCTAGTTATTTTTTTAAACCCGTGTGGAGGGTGCCATTGAAAATTCCATTAGAAAAATAAGAAAAAGACTTGTGAGGGGGGACATAAAAATCATATATCGCTGTCCTAGTGGTACGTCGCGTGGTGATTAAGGGGCATTCTACAATATGAATGTTTTTGTTTTCATTTGTTTTTGAAATTAACACATCAGTATAAAAACAAAAACAGGTTTTAAAGTCTGTTTTGTTTTCAAAGGGAAAACAGGTTAGTTTTGTTTCAAAAAACAATACATGTTTTTGGAACCAACAAAATATTGATTTCTAAAACAAAAACAAATTTTTTATTATAAAATATGATTTATGGAACATGATGTTGAATAATCAGATGAAAACACTTCAAAACCATATTCAAGAACGCATTTTTATTTCAATTTTGAAAATAAAAAACACATACACAACCAAGAACATGCTTATTGTATTTTTATTTTAAGAAACAATCTATTTTTGAACCATATGGTTTTGATTTGTTTTGAAACGAGCAATAAGAAAACAATTCACGTCGTAGACCACACCCTAAGATGCCCAACGTCATTCTAGGCCCAGTTCTACCTGTACCTGCGTACGTAACCTATTTGT